GGTTCATAAAGTCGCGTGGCATGTTAACAGGCACGAGATTTTAAGACCTAATTATGTAATGATTGCATACGATTCTTTTTCTACGAGTAAATAAAATAATAATAATAATAACGCACACACTTAACATAGACCCCCACTAGGGAAACCCAGTGTCGCGGGTGCCATGGACACACACGTAGACAGCCACAAATTACTCACCCAAACTCACGAGAGAAATAAATGTAGACCTTACAAATATTTCTCCCGGCCCGGGAATCGAACCTGGGACCTCTGCGTGGCAGTATAATGAAACAGAAACAATATTAAGCTTGCTATTGTTCCACATGGAGCTACTGGGCATAAACTATATTTAATGTATATTTTGTTAACAATCCATGACAACAAGGGCGTTTTTTTTTCAACAAAACAAACGCTAAAGAACAAAAAACCAAAGAGATGGAATAGAACTAGCCAAGTACCGTATATATTTGAAACAATAGTTTTTATTATAAAGATTTATGGCCCGATTGCAAGACTTTCAGGCCAATTTAACCAATCAGCAGGCAGCGTTTGAGTAGCGTAGGATTGATATTTTGATTAGCAAAAATACGACGATCTTTTTTTGAAACTTAATATGGTTCTGTATACAGTATATTTTGTAGAGCAGTACAGCTCCTTGTGAAAGAGTTCGTCCTGGGAAGTACTGCCACCTTACCTATTTCTGCCACCAAGCAATAACATCAGCATTACTGTGTTCCGGTTTAGAAGGGTGCTGGTGATATTACAGGCACATGGAACTTGTCAACTTGTCTCAGGGTGACCGGCGCAGTGGCGGTGCCCCTCAGATCTTTGGAATTTAAAGCTCTGAGTGGCACTGTAACTGTTATGCACCACGCGCACGACTTGTTCGTCCCGTCATTTGACATTACAAAAAAAGTATAATAGGCATTATAGACAGAAGGAAAATGGCCAAGAAATATGCAACTAAAAAAATATAGCGGTCTCACGTACCCGCAAAAGCATTACCTGGTCGAGGCCGAATTTCCGATATGTAAGTGTATTCGTAATCGTTCTCCCTGGCAGGCAGGCGAGGCACGAAGGACTCGTACTTGGGGAGACGGCAGTTCGCAGCGGCGAGCGCACGCGCCTGTTCCATCGGGATCACTCGACTCGGCACGTACGTGTATACCGGCTCCGAGTATACCGGCCCCTCTTGGTTGTTCTTTAAATATACGAAGTATTTATTAATAAATAGTTGATAGTAACTGTAGTAAATTTCACACAGGATGGGTACTGTGACATTTCAATTTTTTTCATTCGATTTGACGTCACTGCATCCATAGAATCTTTAAATCTCAAACGTCACCGCACCCACGCTATGTGAAATGAACGACGACAATGAATTTGGATCACGTAAATGATAGTATATCGAGTTCTTATGTTTGCGCGATTGCTATACATCGGAAAAAGAAACATTTTTCCTAGAATCTAGTCGTGTATATTTGTTTTTTCAAACCAATCAAAGTTTCGGACTCTTTTGCTCTTTACGGTTGTAAATGATAGTAAATCTAAAATCTAAAATAAAACGTTATATTGATAATTTTATCGACACAAAAACAGGCCTACCGCTTAACTGAGTCGGTTCTTGAAGTAGCGGCGGGGTACGGGAGGAGTGACAACTTACGTAACAGTTATGGCGCGCTGCACACGGGATAATTTCAACAAGATTTTTCTGACGATATTCAATAACAAGTTGATTGAAAAAAGTTGGTCAAATTGGGCAATTGTTATTATGTGAAACGACAAAAATTTATGATGTTGAAACACCACCATAGATAATATTACGAGTGCGACTATCATGTTTGCATTCGAAAGTAGCAAAATAAGTATTTTTCCACTGTTTTCGAGGAGTTGTGCGAGATAATTGACACGGCCATAATGTAAAAAACAAAAAGGGCGGACTGAGCTTAAGTATGTGGAACTTCGCGTACTGTTGGCCCACGTACCACGCAAACTAAGCACTTCTACTGTATTTATGTTTGTGATCGCAACCATGAGACCTGTAAAGACAACAAAACGTTGGTTTGTATGAAAAAAAATAAATTTACACGGTTTAAATCCAAAACAATTTTGTTATAATTGTTAATACAAAGATCGAACATCCTTCAATCCGGCCGTATTCGAACCGACATCTCCCAGCAAATCGTGCCCAGACGCTATGCCATCTAAGCCACGGAACGAACCAGCGGACCTTTCGATTTTTTCTATATGCAATTTTCTATGTACAAAGATCCGAGTATTTGGTTTTCAACGACTTTTTAGGCAAATATTTTTTGTTCATTTCCCAAATTAAATGAAAACCTAATAGCTATATTTCTATCAAGTTGAAATACCTCAGTTCTTGATGTAGCTATGTTTCGTACTCGTCGTCTCCAATACCGATATATTACAGTTGCTGCTACCAGACCCACAATCAGTATGCCTACGACTACGCATATCCACACTGTTATGTCCATGTGGAGGTAACTACTGTCAGTGGATGAACCTTAAAACATAACATAAGTTTTTTTGGAATAAAAGAAACCGACCTCAAAAGTTCTCCAGATTGCCGTAACTATAGTCATCAGTCCACCTTGTGGGTGGTCAGCCCACGCTGCATCTTTCGGTACGCGGTCGCCACTCAAGGATCCTCTGGCCCAATCGCTATTGCCCTACGGATGACCTTCAGCCATCCTATGAGACCCACAGTGAGCCACGTCTCAGTGCCGTTGCCGCAACACTCACCGATCAAGGACTTAAGACTTGAATTACCACATAACATGAAGAAGAATGTAGCTTAATTTGTTATTAATGTCTAAGGATGCTGGTGAAATTATAGGTACATGGACTTGTCAACTAGAGGTCTCATTAGTAGTGGCATTGCCGTTGCGATCTTTGACTAGTAAAGCTGTGAGTGGCACTGCGACTGTTATGCTATATGTATAAATGAGGCGCACGACTTGTTCGTTCCATTATTTCATCGTTTCACTGCTGGACACAGGCCTCTTCCCATGTGCGCTATTTGGCCCAGCCCTCGGCTTATCGCATCCATCTTTTTTTTATAAAAAATAAGCGCGCATTTGACCTTCTACTCACCTGATGGAAAGTGACGATGAGGTCGACGATGTAGCATGTACACGTAAATGTTACCTATTCACTCTCGCCTTGAAAAGGTCCAAGTTACGTATAGCGTTTGTGTAGAACAAGTCCGTAGACAGGGAATTCCACTCCCTAGGGAAACTCTTCGTGCGAATCCCGGGAATATCCACAACATAGGGGTGGCACCCCAGCCCACGTCTAGTCCCTCGAAGAGGGAAAGGGGAAGGCGGAATCAAATTATGCAATTCCATCGCACACTTTCCGCTGCCAGCTGCTTTTCGCAGATCTATACTACATCTAACCAGATCTTACACTTACATTACGTTTGCCGAGCCGGTTTATCGGTTCTTCGGCAAATATGGAAAGCCCACTGCCACTTCAGCTTGCTTATTCTACCAGCTACGTCGACGACCTTGGTTCATTATCGGATAACCTATTTCGGATTTTATCTTTCAGAGAAACTCGAGCTCTTTCCGTACTTTCGTCACTGGTGATTATAACAAAACCAATAACACTGTAAGTTAGTGGCTCTGTACTCACCTATAACATTAAGTCCGGCTTGACATAGTACATCGTAATTGCTGATATTTTGGTACAACGTCGACTCGTTTTTCTAGGGTGAATGGTATTCTGATCGACTTACTCCTAAAAAGCAATCAAATTCTCCATGTAATGATTGTATGGGCTGAAAGTAACAAAAACAAATTATAAGTTATCATTTAAATGAATAAAGGTTTGTACAGACTTAAGAGATCGTCAAGTTAGCTCCTTAAAATTTAAATCTACACATTCAATTCAGTTTGACAAACCCCATGTTCTTGTACAAACTAATTTCAACGGGGAAGATGGTTTCTCTGTTAGTATTGCTCGTTCCTTTTTTATTTAATTTTTATGTTTTTGTTTCAATTCGTAAATATGATTATACGACTAATGTAAGATGCATATTATTAAAATAACTGCCTCCGTAGCCGATGGGTTAGACATGCGCCTCATTTTGCTAAATGGTGGAATCACCAATGGCTCGAAGATTAAACGATAAACAACCTGCGCAAGCGCTTAGCAAAGTGCATCTGTCTGTGTGCTCCGCCGCAGTTACAGGTAGCGTGGGAAGGGATGTACGAAACGGGTGCCGCCCCATTTCTAATTTACCCAATTGTAGGGCATAAATCTCAGGGACGCTAAGTTATTGGTTTAAAAGAAAAGTTTTGCTTATTTGACCAATCGGTTGAAAGTGCAATTTCTTTCTAACACGTTTATCTTTCGTAGTAGCATAGTAAAAAGTGTCAAGCTTGATGTTCTCTTGACTGTACAGTGTAGTACACAGTACCTACCAAGAGTAAGCTTCTAAGTATCAAGGTGTCAGGTGGGGATAAAGTATTAGTATTTATTCTTGATCCTCTGCATAGGGTATTCGATGGGAATAGAAAATTATATAAAATAAAACAGATCCACCAGGGGATCGGTTTTAGGGGATGCGGTCAGATGAGACAAGCACATAGAGAAATTCGTAAGATCTGCTGACTCGGTCTGTAGTCCAGTTGGTAAGAGCGGTAGCCACGGTGAGGCAACAGACGCTGGTTCGAGTCCAGTTGGATCGAAGGAATTTTTCTTTATGTTTATTACGTCTTTGATTATATTTAATGTAGAATTAATACTTACAATAGTTGCAACAGCGTAAGGTAGAAAACGAGGCACGTTGTGTACAGCAATCAAGTCTGCTTTCAAATGTACATTGTTTTTTTGAGTATTTTTGTCAAATCTTTCACACCTGAACAGTAAAAATGAATATTAAAAACCAGCTGGCCCTTTTTTTATTAAAAAAAATTAATAAATTAATTAAATGTAATAAAATTAATTAAATTAATAAATGAATATTAAATTGTATGAATATGTATGAATATTAAATATTAAATGTAATAAAATTAATTAAATTAATAAATGAATATTAAAAACCAATTGGCACTTGGGTTAGTTAGGTTAGCTGTAAATTGACAAATCGTTATTTATAAATACATGCGATACTGCTTTATAAATACGCAGCACCTGGGTTGTTAGTAAGGTTAGCTGTAAATTGACAAATGGTCAGTTTATAAATAAATGCGTTACTGTCCTATTAACTATGCAGCACTTGGGTTAGCTACGTTAGCTGTAAATTGACAAATGGTCAGCTTATAAATAAATGCGTTACTGTCCTATACACTATGCAGCACTTGGGTTAGTTAGGTTAGCTGTAAATTGGCAAATCGTCATTTTATAAATACATGCGATAATGCTTTATAAACTACGCAGCACCTGGGTTAGTTAGGTTAGCTGTAAATTGACAAATCGTCAGTTTATAAATAAATGCATTACCGTCTTATACACTATGCAGCACTTAGGTCAGTTAGGTTAGCTGTAAATTGACAAATCGTCATTTTATAAACACATGCCATACTGCTTTATAAACTACGCAGCACTTGGATTAGTTAAGTAAGCTGTAAATTGTCAAATGGTCAGTTTATAAATAAATGCGTTACTGTCCTATACACTATGCAGCACTTGGGTTACCTTCGTTAGCTGTAAATTGACAAATGGTCAGCTTATAAATAAATGCGTTACCGTCCTTATACATTATGCAGCACTTGAGTTAGTTAGGTTAGATGTAAACTGACAAATCGTCAGTACATATATAAATGCGTTACCGTTCTATACACTATGCAGCATTTGGGTTAGTTAGGTTAGATGTACACTAACAAATCGTCAGCTAACCTAACTAACCCAAGTGCTGCATAGTTTATATAACAGTAAGGCATTTACTTATAAACTGACCATTTGTCAATTTACAGCTAACTTAACTAACCCAGGTGCTGCGTATTTATAATGCATTATCGCATGTATTTATAAAATGACGATTTGTCAATTTACAGCTAACCTAACTAACTCAAGTGCTGCATAGTGTATAGGACAGTAACGCAATAATTTATGAGCTGACCATTTGTCAATTTACAGCTAACGCACCTAACCCAAGTGCTGCATAGTGTATAGGACAGTAACGCATTTATTTATAAACTGACCATTTGTCAATTTACAGCTAACCTAACTAACCCAGGTGCTGCGTATTTATAAAGCAGTATCGCATGTATTTATAAAATGACGATTTTTCAATTTACAGCTAACCTAACTAACCTAAGTGCTGCATAGTGTATAGGACATTAACGCATTTATTTATAAACTGACCATTTGTCAATTTACAGCTAACCTAACTAACCTAAGTGCTGCATAGTGTATAGGACAGTAACGCATTTATTTATAAAATGACGATTTGTCAATTTACAGCTAACCTAACTAACCCAAGTGCTGCGTAGTTTATAAAGCAGTATGGCAAGTATTTATCAAATGACGATTTGTCAATTTACAGTTAACCTATCGAACCCAGGTGCTGCATAGTGTATAGGACAGTAACGCATTTATTTATAAGCTGAC